AGAGGTGTGTGTGTGTTCCCATCTCACCTTCACACGCACAGGCCTCCAGGCGCAGTCAGGGTTAGAACTGCCAGCCAGGGACGACAGCCAGGAGGCGTGCTGCTCTGCGGGCACCTGGGGTTACTGTCCTAGGTAGCTGCCAGCCCGTTGCACTGGGTCGCCTCTGCGTCTCAGCTGCTGTTCTCTCCCCATGCTCCAGCCGGAGCGTGCCAATCCAGGGGCCAGGCAGGGAGGGCTGGGATCCTGGGGAGGGGGGACACTCATGACCAAGGTGATATTTGCCACCGTCCAGGCCCTCAGGGGAGTTTAGCCCCACGTGGATTCCTGGGTCTTGCCCCCTGGGTTCGTGGCACAGCCGAGTTGGGGGAACTCGGGGCACTGATGCAGACCAGGGCACACTCCTTAGCTCTGAAGCTTTCTGATCATGGGAGCGCAACCAAGCCCCCACCTCCCTCCCCAGCCCGGCAGCCGATCCCAGCTGACCGCGACCATGGGGGATCAAGAGTTAGGTGCAGCAGGGACCAGGAGCGCCACACCTGGGGGGCGGAGGGAGGTCTCACCTCCCTCTGCAGTGACCCTGCTGACCACTTGCTCCCCAGCCCAGTGGGAGAGAGAAGTTCCCAGTTCTCCTGGGGGGAAAATCCAGAACCTGCTGGAGGGTTTCTGGGGGGGTAGAAAGAGGAGAACCCCAGGGACCCCTCCCCCAGACTCCTAGCAGGTGGGGATTTCGGTCAGTCCCTTCCCCCAGCCAGGGGCTCCCCCCATCCTTCAGGTGCATTATTTTCAGGAGCTCATGCCAGCCACCCCCATGCCGCGGTCTGGGGAGGGTGGGCAAAGGCCCAGGTGATGGCAGGGCCCGTGGGGCTCTGGTTCGGTTCCCCCTGCCCTCCCCATCAGAGCAGCTGTAATTCTCGCTGCCTAGTGAGGGCTCCGGCCATAAATCCAGGCAGCCCCATAAAACTGGGAAGGCAAAGCCCAGGTTAATGAGGGCGGGTCAGGGCCCAGAGCCCCTGACCCAGGGGGGAGGCCCTCAAGGGAGCCCTCCAGCCGGGAGCTGGTCTGGGCAAGCGGGAGCGGCTGCTCTGAAAGCCTGGGGCGTCCCCTTGGGGCAGAGGAAAGAGAGGGGCAGGGGGCCCTGTGTTCCCTGCTGCAGGGGTGGAGAGCAGGCAGACCGCCCCTCCGCAGCGGGGAGGGTAAATCCCACCTGAGCCATGCCATGGGGCTAGGGCTGGTGTGGGGCTGCAGAGGGCTCCGGGGGGCCGCCGAGGACAGTAATTAGCCCTGGGCGCTGCAGGAGGAGCTGTCGATGCAGCAGGGTTATTGGAATTGATTTCAATTTAGAAGCGGAGAGAGGCCTGGCAGGGAGCAGCCGCTCTGCCCCAGAGCCACACGCCACGTTAGCACCAGCGGGCGTCTCCTGCCGGGGGCTAGAACCGGGGGCTAGAAACTGGGAGCCGGGGCGCCTGGGTTCTCGGCCTGTCATGGGGAGGGTGTGTGGCCGAGTGGTTAGAGTAGGGCACTAACGGTATGTCCACACGGCGGCATAAACGGGGGCTCCCAGCCGTGCTACCATGGCCTTTCAGCACTGCACAGGTCTCGTCTTGAGCTGCGTCCACACTGCAAAGTGACAGGGCTTGGACTGTCCCAGCGGGCGGGACTCAGGCTTTGACCCTCCCCCTGGCAGGGCCCTAGGACACACTGATCTGTGTGTGGACGGACGGGGGGTTTGACTCAGCCCTGAGTCAGAGCCCGGCGTGGTGAGCTGTGTAGACGCCCTCGGTGTCAGGAGGAGACTGAGGTTTTGAACCCCACCCTCGCGATCCCCCGCGCCCGCGCCGCTCTGCAGCTGTGACCTGCCATCCCACGCGGCCAGCTGCTGGCTTGTATCCAGCCCTGGCATTACTGAGTGTCACCGCTGAGACCAGGGGCAGCTGGGCTGGCTTAGTCCAGGGCTGCCTGGGGTCCCAGCTGGTGCCCAGGGACACCCGAAGCCTCCGCTGCCCGTAGCCACAATGCCGGTTGCTTTCCAAGGGCCTGGTCCCTCCCCCATAGCCTCCCGTGGCGCTTGGCTCAGTCCTCGAGGCGGGCAGAGGGAGCCCGGCTGTGTGGGACCTGGAGGGCACTTGGCAAAGAGCCCTAGCGAGTCACGCCGTGACGCCCGTGGCAGGGATCCGCCAGCAGCTCCTAGCCTGCCGTGACTCGTTGCTGGAGTCCCGCTCCTGGGTCAGATCCAGGAATCTCTTACTAGCCATGTGGCAGGGCCTGAACCCCAGGTACAGCCGCCAGTGTCCTGGGGAAAGGGCAGCCCAGCTCCCATCTTCGTCTTTGGTCTGTCTGGGCCAAGCAGAAGCCCTGGATCAAACCCGGCCGGATCGGGAGAATGATCTGATGCAGCTCTGGTTCCAGACCCAAGCTTTGCTGCTCAGCCCCGGAGCCCGGAGCGGCTCTGGGTCAGGAGGGACACCCCCCAATGGGACATAATGCAGCTCTTCTTCTAGCCTGGGGGTCCCGCTAGCACCTGCTCCCCCCGTCCCCCGCGAGCGAAGCCTGAGTCCCCAGGAGCCGCCCCGGTGGAATTGCAGCCTCCGCAGCTGTGTGCTTGGAGGCCGCCCCATTTACCGTGTGACTCGAGTCGTGGCTAACGCAAAGTCACCTTGCGCTGACTTAACGCCTCCGCGTTCTCCACACCTCGCGTGTGCACCGTTGCCCTCTACAGGTCAGAGCCGGAACTGCTCCACTGCGTCTCATAGACCCTGCACACGGCTGAGAACTGGAGCAGCAGGAGATGAGCGCCGTCGCTGCCGTCGCTGCGGGATTCGGCGTGGCCCTGGCGTGCTGCGCAGAGCCGCCTGCCAAGCTCCGTGTGCCCGCCGGCCTGAGGCAGCATTGAACTGGATGGCGGCTGCAATCTGCACGGAGCTGCCAAACTGGAGGAGGCTTTCGGACTCCGGCCAAGTTTCCCGCCCTCGGCCTCGTGCCGTTCTCGTGCCCTGCGCTGGGGGCTGTTGCTGGGACGTGGGGTTGCTGGAAGCTCCAGCAGCCGAGCAAAGTCACCTTTTTTCATCCGGGCCTTTTTAGGGTTTGCTCCCGTGACTTCACTCCTGACTCTTTGGTGACATTTCAGGTTCGTCCCCTTGGGCACCCGGCCTGAGCCAGCAGCCGTGCAATTACCATACAGGCTGCCCTCCCAGGGCAGGGGGCAGGGAACGAGCGAACACCTTCTGCCTCATTGTCGGGGGCACCCTACGGGGACTTCGCTTCTAAAGCTTTTCACCTCCGGGGGGCGCTGATTCCCATCTGGCCTGTGGAGCAGAGCCAGGGTGTGATGAGCTTGTGACGGGTTGGATCACAGAAACCCCCTTGGGAGCTGCCACCCGATGTGCAAAGACTACCCCTGCTTCTGTTTTCCCTGCCAGCTCAGGACTCCAGCACCCTGTCTTGCTGAGCCAGACACTCCTGTCTGCTCCAACACAGACCCAGGGTCTGAATCACTTGCCCCAAAGCTGCAGGTTTACCTGAAAACAGCTCCCAGAAGTGTGCTTGTCCTTAGCACTCAGATGCCCAACTCCCAATGGGGTCTAAACCCAGATAAATCCGTTTTACCCTGCATAAAGCTTATGCAGGGCAAACCCAGAAATTGTTCGCCCTCTATAACACTGATAGAGAGATATGCACAGTTGTTTGCTCCCCAGGTATTAATACAGACTCTGAGTAAATTACTAAATAAAAAGTGATTTTATTAAATACAGACAGTAGGATTTAAGTGGTTCCAAGTAGTAACAGACAGAACAAAGTAAGTCACCAAGCGAAATAAAATAAAAAGCGCAAATCTGTGTCTAATCAAACTGAATACAGATAATCTCACCCTCAGAGATACTTCAGTAAGTTTTTTCTCAGACTGGACACCTTCCAGGCCTGGGCACAATTCTTTCCCCTGGTACAGCTCTTGTTCCAGCTCAGGTGATAGCTAGGGGATTCTTCATGATGGCTCCTCTCCCACTTTGTTCTCTTCCCCCCTTTATATATCTTTTGCATAAGGCAGGAACACTTTGTCCCACTGGGTTTCCACCCCCTTCACTGGAAAAGCACCAGGTTAAAGATGGATTCCAGTTCAGATGACATGATACATGTCACTGCAAGACTTCATTGCCCACTTGCCAGCACACACATATACAGGAAGACTCACAGGTAAACACAACCATCTGCAGACAATGGGAGTCATCAAGATTCCAAACCATCATTAATGGCCCACATTTTACATAATTACAATAGGCCCTCAGAGTTACATTTTATATTTCTAGTCTTAGATACAAGAGTGGTACA